CAAGTGGGCCAGACAGCCTGAACTCACTTCAGCACCTGCAGGTCAAATCCTGAAAATGGTTATATTTATACTTCTGAGACATTTTCCTTATCTCAATCTTTGAAGTGCCAGTGATGAAAAAAGCCCTTCAGTTAACTGAGTTTATATATACACAGTATTTATATTACATATAAAGTTTTACTAAGCCAGATACCTGACAAGCAATTAAAACCAAGGAGACACTATCTTAAAAAGTTTAACAAAAATCAGTCTTCATAATAAAAAGGTTTTTTTTTTTTTTTTTTTGAGACAGGGTCTACATAGTGGAGGTAAACCTTAAATTTAAGTAGCCTAGGCTGGCTTCAAATTTAGTAATTCTCCTCCCTCAGCTTCTGAGTGTTGGATCACAGCTATGTGCCCCATGCCTGGCTAAAAGTGTTTAATTTTTAATACATGCATTTGCAGTGAATCATTGGGCAGAAAGTCATTTTTGCCTCAAAAAGTGATCTCATGCGACACAGCTTCATTTCTTAAAGCAACCTAATGAGGTTTATTCCATCTAATAAATGAAGCAGAAGTATACAGTTGGCTTGCTCCTGGTCAGCAGTGATTGGCCAAAGTGTAAATTCAATCCAGGCAGATTGGTTCTAAAGTCTAAGACCCAATACCAGTGATGGCAAACCTTTTAGAGCTTTCAACGATAACAAAGAGCTGGTTGTAGCACACTGTCACAGGATTGTCATCACTGCACTATACTATACTGCTTTTGAATATTAAGCATTTTTCTTAATTAGGAAAACCAATGAAGTAGGCTTGTTCTAAGATTGAAGTCTCAGAAAGATGAATATGCCCAAGATATAGTACATCTATTTCCTAATCACTTACTGTGACTAAACCAACTTCCCATGATCACATGATGATCCTAAGTGAAACTATCCATCTGCAGTTCTATTTTGACTGCACCTAGTATTTTAATAACATGTTTCTGTGTTATCAGAGCAACTGTTTTCCAAGAATCTATAAAGTGTTAAATGTATTTTAACTGAACAGACAACCAAAGATACTCTAAAAATTTAGGATTACCTCAAGCCACAAGGGACCATGAAGTTTTGATCTAAGCTCTAAACTATGTAGTGTATCTCAAAGTGCTTTTGAGTAGGTATTATGGCAATTATTTAGTAATTAATTTCCTGAAGTAATTAATTTAGCAGTAAAGAAGGGGTAACAAATTGCTTACAATCTGGGCATGGCAAGTTACCTGTTTTCATTTCTCCCTCATTCCATTTGGAAGTGGTAAGAGACTGGTGGATTCTTTCATCAGTTTATAACTAGCACGTTCCCCCAAGGCCCCATGTCTTTAGAGTTGGGGCTGCTGGAAGTGATTGGATCATGGACACATGATGCTCATCCGATTACTCCATTTAGTTTATAGCTAAATGTGCTGTCGGGAGGCAAAGTTTGGTTGATGGAGGTGCATCCCCCTCCTCCCTTGACAGTTCCTGCTTACCACATCACGAGCCATTTTTCCTCAGCTATGCAGCCCGGCTTTGGAGCCTGCTGACCATGAAGTTAACCTTCTATAAACTGTGACCCAAAATCTCTTTCAGCTGTGGGTTTTGGGTTGTCTCGGTGATGTGACAGTAACTAGGACACATTTTTTAGGAATAGGTAATACCCTTGGGGTTTAAGGGTAATTTCTGAATCCAAACAGATAGGCCTTGCACTGTTCCTTATAGTTCAAAATATGTTAACTTGCAGTAGAGAAAAATTCACTGGCAGTCACATTTTCTTGGAAATACCTAAGGTTATTTCTTCTGGAGCATACTTCATGAGAACAAATCACATCTGAACAGACTAGGCTAGTGTTAAGATTTGAACATTCTGAATTAGTTTATGTAAGTTTACTAACCCTAGCTGTCTTTGATACATTAAAAAAAACTATACTGAATATTTTAATTCTCCCTTTTTTCACTGATTTCTTTCCATTTATTCTGCCACAAGAGAAAAGCACATTATTATGGGATGAGGCTGAGTTCAGGTAAAATTTAATGTATTACAACTGGATTACCCACTATTAAGAGTTTTACTGCCATCAGTCACTTTTCTGCTTGTGCATTCTCCTTGTTTCACAATCATTCCTCATGTAATACAATGGTAAACATCTGAGACAGTTGATATTGATAAGCATGGCTGGAGAGAGAAAAATGCTGTTCAAGCCTAAATCTTCTGGTTTAACCCAACATCAACTGTTTTAATAGTGGTTGTGGAGATTCCTACTTGGTCTGCCTTGTATTAATGATAAACTGAAGAGCAAATAACTTTACAGAACGAAGTTGACATTTTATTTTTTTTTTTTTTGGTACTAGGGATTGAACTCATGACCCTGTAATTGCCAGGCAGGCACTTAAGCCACTGAGCTAAATCTCTGGTCCCAAAGTTGGCTTCTTAAAGACAGACTCATGGATTTCATTTTTTTTTTCTGTCATGTTCAGAAGAATTGAACACATTTTTCAAGTGCCAACTTGGTTAAATAGGCAATAATGAAAGACTGGAAAATGAAAACTGAGAAAATATTTCATTAAGTGAAAACTATGTAGATATAAAAGCATGAGATTTTCCCTCACTTCCTGGCAGATTTTCAGGCCAGGGAAGAATTTCAAGGGTCTTCAGATTCCCTTGGCAAAGTGATCACACTGCCTTGAGGTAGAATGGGATTGTAGCTTCTAAGCAGGATTTAAATGTTAATGCTTCTCTGATCTTCCAATCTTGTCTTCTGACATTCTTTCATAGCCAAAAGTTATCTTTATTTACTTCTTCCTCATCTCTATTCATTCACTCCTCATAACTGAAACCCAACAGCTTTTTACTGTTACTAGTTTATCTGGGGAAAATAATCTTACCAGGGTGAACTGTAAGAAAAACTGCTTATAAGCTGCTCCCAAAACAGCAAGAAATGCAAGGGGAGGTTAAAAACAAAACAATTCAGGACACAAATATGAACATGAAAAATGTCTTAAGTCTGAAATTCAAGACATAACTAATATCCAACACTAAAGGTATAGTCATTGTCTCCTGTTTTTTTTTTGGGGGGGGGTACCAGAAATCAAACTCACAACTGCACGCTTGCAAGGCAAGCACTTATGCTGGGCCCCTCCCTCGTCTTTGCAGTCTTCTGCTGCCATGAACAGTTGTCCCTCTGCCCTTGTGCCAACTTGCCTGAGAGTCAGGCAATTATGGACTGAAACCTCTACAAACTGTGAGCTAAATAAACCCTTCTTCCTTGAAAAACAGAACAAAAAGATATACAAAGTTGAGATGAAGACTTGGGTTTAGACTGTCCAATGTTGTCAAGTGTAAAAAGCATACATTTTCAACTACTGACACACAACAGTATTTCAAGCGAGTATATGACCAATAAAGGCCATTTACATGATATACTTTTTATGGAACTTACAGTATTGCAATAGTAATGGAAGTACTGTCAGTATTACCTATAATACATAATTCCTGTATTATCAGTTCTAGGTAAAATCAAAATCCTTCGATTGTTATCCTATGTTTACAAATTGTTTCCCTATTTTGATTGTGGGGAGGTGCTGATCTGTGAAAATCCACTAAATTCTGTATTTTAAGTGGGTAAATTTTATTTCCATAAAAGCTCTTTAAAGTTGTTTTAGTGCTGGGGACTGCATGTCAAAGACTTGCACATGTGAAGTTAACTGCTTTAAAAATGAGGTATGCTTGCAGCCCTGCTTACAAAATCATTTTAAGATATAATTCAGATGAACCTCATAGCAAGTTCATACAAGTAACACCCTCAGATTCCCTACCAGTATTTATAAATATGTACCTATTGACATAATCGTTTATAATTCAGCAATTCTACATTTTAACCTCCTTGGATGGTTATAGTCAAAACATTTTTATTGCGCTCATCTGCATATATAATCATTTTTCCCCATCTTTTTTGGACAGGGTTTCACTATGTAGCACAGGCTGGCTTTGTATTTGTAGCAATCTTCCTGTCTCAGCCTAAGAGCTGGGATTACAGTTGTGCACCACCACACCTGGCCTATCTGCAAATACTTTTACAAAATGTTTTCCACTGTCCCTGTTAAAAATGAAGTTTCATGGTTCAAATATGAAATGTCCTCCAAAGGTCCTGTTGGTTTGGTCCTCAATACTACAGGTTTACAGCTGGAGCTTTGGGAATAACTACACCAGAATCAGTGGGTTAATCTACTGACAGGTTGACAACTGAACAGACTTTTGTTAAGTGACCATGGCAGGAGGGAGGGCCTAATTGGAAGACCGCTGTGCCATGCCCTAGAAAGGTCTGTTTTCCCTAGCTTTCCTCGTTTCCCAGTTGGCACGAAGTGAGGAGCTTTTCTCTACCATGCTTTTTCTGCAAAGATGCTCACATTGGGCACCACAACAATGTACTGAAACATCCAAAACCAAGAGCCCAGACTTACCTTCTTTTATCTCAGGCATTTTTTCACAATGACAAGCTAACAGAGAAAATCACAGGCGAAGTAGCTTAGTTTTCTAGTTAACCTTTAACTACTTGGATTTTATGTTTTGACCTTGGGACATTTATCATCAGTGGCATATTAAACCTACCAGCTTTAAGTATGCCAACCCACTGCAAGTCTAACAGGTCATTAGCCATGACTAGGAAATGTGTATTTTCTTTGATATTTTTAAAGTAAAAATGCTTAAAATGTTAAGTATAATAATTAAAAGCTTTCCTATAGAAAGCCCAAATTAGCATATCGAAATGTCATGCTCATCCGTATCAACTCATAGAAATACAGAAAGCATTTAACTCAGTGGAGGTCTGAAAATGTATTTTGTAATTTTTGTTTTGTTAGAAAGGTTTTTTTCAACTAAGAGCTTTAGTTAGACTTCTAACCTAACTTCTGGGTCTACACATCCTCTCACCCTCCATCTCTGGGCCTGGTAAGAAAACTAACGGCTAGAAAAAATAATTTTGTAAAGTGTATTAGACACTTCTAGTATTTTTCTTAATTTTTAGAGAACTGGTTAGTGATTTTCACTAAGGGCCTGATTTTTATAATTGTGGAGCTTAAGCTATACATAATAAATAACCTAGCCACATTCCTGTGTGATCTTGGCTAAAGACTTGCGGCTGGGCATGGTAGTGTATACTTTTAATTCCAGCACTCTTTAGAGGTTAAGGCAGGAAGATCCATTTGAGCCCAGCCTGGAAATTCTTTTTTCTCTTTTCGAGACAGGGTCTTACCATGCAGTTCAGGCTGGCCTTGGGCTCACTTTATATCCTAGGACAGTCTCAAACTTTCAATGATCCTCTTGCCTCAGCCCGAGTGCTTATTATAGGAGTGTACCACCATGCTTGGCAAAATTTTTTTGGTACTGGGGATCAAACTCATCTTGTGCCTGCTAGGCAGACACTTATGCACAGAGCTAAATCACCAGCTTCAGCCTGAAAAATTTAACGACTGTCTTTACGGGTATATCTTATTGCTAAGGCCCTTTGTTTACTCCCCAGTACCCACCCCCCTAATTGTTGCCATGTAGCTTCACAGTATAAAGAAATCAAATTGTATTTTAATGTGAATTTGTCACACAAATTTGACCTAGGTTGAAAGAATACCTTTGCATTATAATCCTTGACTTTTGTGTCCCAAGTGCTCTGGGACTACTCTTCAGTAACTTAAAACTCCCAATAAACTTAGCGTTTTCCAATACTCTGCTAAATCTTTTATACTCACCAACACCACTGGAGGGCTGTTACTGAGGATTAGAATGCTACAAATTTTGTGATAAAACAAGCCAAACTTTAAACTCAAGCTACTGGAATCCAGGCTCCAGATAATAGTTTTCAAAGCACTAAAATCAGTCTCTTCACAGTATCTCCAAGGGGGTCTCCGTCCTCAAAAGATCGACCCATCAACTAAAGCTTGAGGCTGCTGTAGTAAAATCAACTACTTGTTCTCTTGGGTCTTATTTTTCAGCAGGTATGTATAAAAGGATGCCAGACAACTTTGATGTAAAGACTAAAGAAATTTAGTAAGCCAAAGAATGTGAAGTCACTGGGTACAGCAGTATGTAGCTGCAGTACCAATAATGGCTGAGGCGTAAGGATTACTTGAACCTATGTGTTCCAGGCTGAGCTGGGAAAGTGAGATTCCTGTCACAAAAAAATAAAACCTAAAATATAAAGAAAGTTTCATATGCATTACAGTTTAACTGTCTTGATACTCCAATATTAAAAATAAACATACACTGATGTAAATTACACAGTATAGGGAATTAAAATCTTAGGGCACCATTAGGAAATAAAAATCTAAAGTTTAAATAGAGAAAAAACTGGTAACATTAAGACACTGAACATACATGAGGTTTAGCTATGCCACTTGCCACTACTATGCAGTGTGATCATTAATTTTTTTTTCTTTTTCTTTTTTTGGTGCCAGGGATTGAACTCGCGACTTTGTGTTTGCAAAACACATGCTGCTGAGCTAAACACCTGGGCCCGATCAGTAACAATTTTTAATTCTAATATCCATTTTCTTATCTGTAAAACACAGATCAGGTGATTTATAAGAGCTTTCAGCACTTACAGTGTCTATTTGGTTTAAAACATACTCTGCTGTATTTAGTCAAATATCAAAAATACAAGATAATAACTCTCCATGGTTTTGGTAGCAAATAGAGTTGGATGGGAATCCATCAAATTCAAAGATTAGGTTCAATGTTGACCTTGTGGGGAAAATCGATTTGGTCCTTGTCCAGTTCTCCAGTTTGACCATTGAGAAGATTTAGCTCATTAACTGAGGTATCTGTAATCTAAAAAACTAAGATGAGTCAACAAAAGCTGCTATTGAAGACATTTTCAGAAAAAATTTTAAAAATGCTGCCTGTTCATAGATACTTCAATTTAAGATTTCTCAATAACTATCATAATTTTAGGATAGCTTTGAGCTCTAGATGGCTTTTTTTTTTTTGAGACAGGGTCTCATTGTGTAGCTGAGGCTGGCCTCGAGTTCCCTATGTAGCTCAGACTAGCTTCAAACTCAAATGATCCTCTTGCCTCAATCTCCCAAGTGCTGGCCAAGTACAGGTGTGCAACACTGCAGGTGACAGTGTCATCAATTACTGCCTCAGTCAGACACTTGAGTTGGTATAAGGTCACCAGCTGGGACTGTGGAGTGCCCCTTCGGCATGTTTATGTGATATATACAGGGTGACCAACACAGTTAAAACTGCAAGATTTTACATAAATATGTGGCTTTTTATACTTCCCCAAACTGGTAAAGGTGTTTTTACTAACAAGAGATTTATGCCACTTGTCAGTCATTACCGGCTCAATTACCTCTACAGCAGAAAAGCGTCTCTCAGGGGCTGGGGATTTAGCTCGGTGGCATAAGCACCTGCCTTGTAAGCACGTAGTCATGAGTTTGATCCCTGGTACCGGTTTAAAAAAAAAAAAAAAAAAAAAAAAAGGTCTCTCTCATCCTTACTTTCTTGATATTAGGATAAACTCTCACCCTTGAAACACCCAGGTAAATCAGAATATTGTGATGGCTGAGGTTAACACTGATACTTTCTTCAAATCCTTAAATGTTCCTACTCCACAATGCCACTATGTAAGTAGATTATGAGGAAAATTCTTATGTGTAGATTTTCAGGATTCATTCATGGGTAAAATAAGCAATAAATCTAAAATTTTTGCAAGACTTGCTATTACTTGCTATGCAGGGAACAAAAATACAAATAGAGGATGAAGATAAATACTATTTCACCCAACCCTCCATACTCACCTAGTTTTAAAAATCCACAGTAGTTGGTTGACTTGGCAATTCACTGGGAAGGACAGACACCAATTACGTATTTGTAGAAGTTTTTCTAAGTGATCCCAACATGTATTTGTTGGAAAAATGCCTTGGTAAATTTAACTGACCCAGGCTGGCATGGCAGCGTATGCCTCTAATCCTAGCACTCAGCAGATTGAGGTAGGATGAGGAGTTTGAGTCCACCCTGGGCTATATACTGAGTTCAAGGCCAGCCTGAAATACAGTCTCAAAACAAAACGATCGACCTAATATTCTTATGAACTACCTAAAATTTACATTACAATGCCCTAAAGTTATAAATCAATGACTCATCTTTTGTGATTGAAAAACATGTAGTCTGCGTTATGTAAGGCATACCTAATTCTACATTTAAAATATTTTCCCAAATTCACTGTTTTTTCTCTAGGGCACAACCTATTCTTTCACAAGCTAGTGCCAACAAATATTAACTTGCAAATCACATTTCTAAAGAGGGTATAACTTTTTCCTAAAAAGTTAAGAAGTTGTAGATTCTTTCAAAATATATTAAATATATTTGTTTCCTGTATTTTTGGTTAGCTATCTGTGGCACATAAAGGCTAGAAAAACTTCAAACTACTTAAATACATGACAATTTACAGAAATCATTGTATTATACAGGTCTATTGTTTTCCACACAGGATGTCCAAGCAATGTTACTTTTTTTCCCCCACAAATTGGTCTTCCACAGTAACTCAAAGTGAAGTGACAGCTTACTCTTAAAAAATGATTAAAATTCATTATTTTTCAGGTCAGAAAGAACAGCCAATATTATGTTCCTTTTCCAATACTTACCATCAATCATTACCATTGCTTAGGAATGAAACCAAACCATTAATCTTGTACCTTGTTCCTAGAAACGTGACAAATTTAGTCTCTGAAAAACTATAATCATCTCATGCTATACATTTGAGATTGACACTACTGTGTGTTGGTTAGTTTTAACCAGTCTGCCTACTGTTCTTTGATAGGAGGGCTTACTAATCAGAAGTTTTATTACCAACTAATAGGTTTAGTACATACTTTCACTGACTTAAACACATCTATTAATTTTGTTTTGAGAATAAAGTGCAAAACGGGAGGGAAGAAAAAAAGTACAAAAGCACGCATCATCAGAACTTTTAACCCCTTTGATACTTTCAAGAGGAAATGAAATTTCTCATCTTTCCACACGGCAGACAGATTCTGGAAAAGAAACACACAGCATTGTTTTAGTGACACGAGTGAAGAAAAATATAGTTCATTTAAAATACTGAACAAGCAACTTAAATCTTGAAGCAATCATACATATGAAGTATCACAAATCAAACACTAAAAAGATAAAACTGGTAATCTGTGCAAATGAACTTGGCGTCTCTGCAGTATTTCAGCAGTCTAGGTTTACCTAAGAACCAGCGATACTTAGCAACAGATCGCCAGTCTTCAGCAAGCCAATCATCAATAATATCCCCTTTCATTATTTCCCTGCCTTTGCTGCTTGGTGACAGGTCATTTTAAAGGAGGTCACTGACTGTATGACTCCTGGAGGCCCCTCTATGTCTCTCCCTTCCCAGCTCTTCTACCTTTCAACAGCGATTTCTATATGAAAAAAAATCACTGAAGGTTCAAAACAGGGAGAAGAGGGTACATGAGCTGGGAAACGAAGGAGACTACGAGAGTTAGCCCAGTGGGTGAACGCGGGCTACACCGCCTCCAGGCGCGAGCACAGCCGCCCGGGGTCCCTGCACCTCCAGATACCGACGCCTCCGACTATCCTACTCCTCCGCGTCCAGACGTAAAAAGTCTCCGGAAATTCCTCAGTTAGAAAATGGAGCAAAGAGGCCCAGTGTAAGCCCTGAAGAACCGTGAGGCCGAGGCTCACACGGTCGCCACACGCCACGTCTTATCAGACCTGCCCAACAGGAGCCCTCCGCCCCGCTCTCAGGTCGATCCCGAAGACCCTCCAGTCCGTGGGTCCTCCACCTCATCATCCCTACCGCACGACTTTTCCACTCCTGCGTTTCTAACACATCCACCAGCTTCGCTAAGCCGCCCAGGCGCTCCTAACATGGCGGCCAATCTTCTCTGCTCCTCCTCTCTGGGCGCGTCCGACCTCAGCGCATCTTGGGTATTGTAGTTCCAGCAATAGCCTTGGCGTCCCGTCTGGGCCCCAGAAGACTACAATTCCCAGAACGCACCGCATCCGAGCATGGCTATTGGGGCTGCTCGGACAGAGAGATGATGTCATTGCAAAAACCCCACTGCATTCATTGTGCTACGATCTACCCACCCCCTGCTGCCACTGGGCTTGCGATTGCCGCTCGCTCCAGCTGAGCTCAGAGTAACAGCAGCACCAGGGCAGTGACTGACTCCAGCCCTTGGATATAGGACGTCGCCGCCCTTCCCTTGCGTGCGTGACTCACTCACACATCATTTCTGTTTATGCCTGGGGTGGGGAGAAAAATCCCAAACCAGGTGAGTTGAAGTGATTTGTTAAATCCAAGTTATTCCTCCCGCTTAGTTTTGAAGGCTTTCTTTTGGGAAGATGGGCCGGGGGCGTGGGGTGAGGTGGAGGGATTTGGGATGTTCTCCCAGGCGCTGCTATGGGAAAAGCTCCATGCAATTTGGGTCACTGCAAAGAACCAACTCCAGCAACCCAAACCCTACCCCCGCCCCTCGTCCTCCCGCCAGAAGGGTGCCTGCCAATTCCTTGGTACTCAACTCCCCGCAACCTTTCTGAGACTGGGAGAGGGGGCTGGGCTGTGAAGGACGTTGGGAAGTGCACTTGGAAAATCGGAAGAGGGCAGAGGTGGGAAACTGCAGTTCTGACACCCCGGGCCGGAGTGCTGAGGTTGGAGTGGAAAGGGGTGATGCATGGAAAGAAACGGAGACAGTGATTTAATGTGGTCGCGCTACTTTCTAACATTTCTGTGTGGCTGGGATGAGCACACACTATTCATTTTCATCATGAACATGCTTCTTATTAGTTTAAGTTGCGTGGGGCTTTATTTTCTTTGAATATATGTCGTTGGCCTTTTCTGTTGATTTGAGGTGACAGTGTCCTTTAATGGTGCACTCCGTGACAGTCAGAAACATCTCACGTGTCTGGGGAAGGTTCTCTTAGGCTGCTGGAAGCAGCTTTTGTAAGTGTTTTCCGTTCTCCTGACTGCAGGGTTCAGGATTATTTGGAAGTGGAGCTGACAGATTTGTCCTCATGTGAGTGTTTTAAATTACACTGTAATAGGCTCCTTGCTACTGACAGTGGCACTATAATGAGCAGTAGTTTCCTGAGACACAGTCGCTACTCAAAAATAACGGTTTGCAGACTGGATCGATTAGGGAAACCCATCTTCATTTTAACACATTAAGGGAAGGGGAAGTTAGAAGTGCTATCAACCTTCATTTGCCATTGCTTAAATTATATCCAAGGAAGAGTAATCCGGACCAGAGAAACCAAGCAGCATAATAGAGTTGTACTCGTTTTTTGTTTGTTTCTAAATAAAATGACACATTAATAGGCCAGAAAGCATTCTTCTATGATGTTGGCTCTCCTTTACTTTTAAGAGTTACAGGAACAATTAGTGCAATAAACATGTTACTTTGAGATAAACAGCTGGCTGGCTCCAGAACAGATGGGGCCAGTTTCAGCCCAGAGATCTACAACCTTGGAAACAAATGGACCTGGGGTCAACCACACCCCCTCTTGGAATGTCAAAAGAAGGAGAAATGTTAGAGTATTTGCTGAACTCTAAACTGATAAATCTTTTCACAGCCCAGTGGAGGCACTGGGTGAAATCGTTACTGGCCCATCATTAGCTGCTTTGACAATTTCATTCATTGTAAATTCAGACCCTTAGGTCTCCGAAGTTGCAGCTGGGTGATACTTTGTTAAATGCTGCTTGCTGCTGAATGCAGAGGAAGTCCATTGTATGGCTTTTGTAGTACAGTGATTTATTGGGATGCCACGAACAGCTTTTGGATTTGGGAATAAGACCAATAGTCTGCCATCGCCTCTTCCATCTCTCTATTGCTTAGTCTGCTGTTCTGCATACCCCACCCTTTTCTCTGGTACTTTCCTCACCCCACCCCATGTCTCTTGAAACTCTGTTTTTTCCTGTCTCTCCGTTTAAAGTTCACATTTTTTTTCTGTTTCAGAATCTTCCTCTATCATTGGCATATTGCATTTCTTTCTGGAAGTCACCTCCCAAGTTCTGAACATCTTCCCTAGCTCTACTCTCCTTCACTCAGGGTGGATGTAGACTGTGTAGATATTTATTCAGGGTTCTTTCTGAGGAGGCCCTGGCTTCTGTTTTTCTTGCCGTCTGTCCTTGGCAGGAGGGGCTGCAGAGAGCCTGACCCTGGGTGTGAGAGTCTGTGACAGACACAATCTGCACCCCGCACCAACATGCTCACGGTGAAATGTTGCATTTGAGCTCTTGCAACTTCCTTTCACTGGTACCCGTGAAGAGCTGCCAGTGGGTTAGCAAGATTCTTTAGTGCCTTACATGAAATGTTCTCATAATTCCCAAGAAATAAATATTCTTCAAAATTTTTCTGCCTCACTTAATACATTAAAAAAACAAAACAAAACAAAACAAAACAAAACAAAAAAACCCTGTTCCAGGGAGTGATGGGAGGGCTGTTTTCTCACCTTCTTGCTATTCCTCATTGGGAAATCCAGGGCGAAATCCAGGTGGTCAAATTGCCTATATGTTTTTTTTGAAGGTATTTAGGTAGGTAATATCTTTTTTTCTATTGTTTCTTCTCTTTTGTGGAGGAAAGAAGTTTGTTTTAAACTCCTTTCCAAGGAAGAAGTGTGTGGTGGTGATTGTATGTTGTTGTTTGCATTAGCAGTATTGTTTTTTTATGCATGGTGTATGTATCGTCTGTCCATCTGAAGGCAACTTATGTGAGAGGCAGATGCATAGGCTGTCTGCCAAGATATCTTCTCCACCTTCTCTTTTGTAATTTTCTTCTTCTCAAATACTCCCTCACACCTAAGTTTTTTTTAGTGTGTTACGTAGGAGAAATGAGCTAAATGGATGATTAGATTTGGCTGTCTGTGTTCTCCTGTGACCTTGATTGTTCCTTTGTACCTCAGCTTATATTTTGGCAAAGGGGTAATGATCCTTGATCCTTGATTTACTTGATCTGATATTATAACTCTCTATGATCTGACACCAGTGATTCTGACAAGCCTTAACTGAGCAGCTGTTTTGGCTAATCACTGTGGATACATTGAGGAAAGGAAATACTTCCCTGCCCTCAACAAGGGAAATAGTCATCAAACAACTTCAAGTGTGATAAATGTTTCTTCCAAAGGGGGATGTACTATAGGATGGATAGAAGTCTCAGTTGGCAGAAAGGGAAGAGTGGTGAGCAAAGTAACAGAGGTCAGAATGAAGAATGAGGCTGCAAACAGGAAGGAGCTGGAGACCTGGCAGTTTTCTGAGCAACAGGTGAACCCTAGATGCCTAGGAAGGGTTTTAGTTAGTTAGATGAATGGCATGTGGAGTGATACTGAAAACATCTCCCTGGCTCTTAGATGGAGAGATTAGAGGAAAGTTTGGATTTGGTGAATATGTGGAGAATTTTTGTAGTTTATATGAATGATGGATAGTTCTTGGATCTGAAGTGATAGCAGAGGGTGTGAAGGGAAATATTAGAGAGCTCAGCTTAGAAATTAAAATTGACAAGGTATATTGATTACGTAGATATAGGGATAGAGAGAAAAGAGAGTCAAGTATACCTTGAGATTTTCTTGAATAATCAGGATGACTTTTACAAAGAAAAGGAGTACTGAATTAAGTTGTTCAAGCAGTAACTTAGCTGGGTGCGGTGGTACATGCTATGTTTCCAGCTCCTGGGAAAGCTGAGTCAGAAAGATCACAGGTACAAGGTAAGTCAGCTTGGGAAACTTAATAGACTGTCTCAAAACAACAACAAAAATTACGGGGTTTGGTCGTGTTGAATTTGAGGTCCCTGGGAAACATCTAAGATCCTTCTTTTGTTTTTTTATATCTGTATAGCATTGTAAAAGAGAGCTTCAGATTAGGCTAACACTAATACCACATATTTATTAACTGTGTAATAGTGGATATCACATTCTTTTTTTGAGCTTCAGATTCTTCATTTGTAAAACATATTTATTTCACTAAGTTATACTGATCCCAAGCTATATGTGCAAGTGATAGGAATACACTATTTTTGAATAAGATAGTGTTTGCTTTGGAGGAATTTGCTGAAGGAGGGAGATAAATATAGACCATCACAGTAGCACAAAAGAGGTATAAAGGCAATGCTAGAAGTGTATGGAGGGCCCATGGGAGGCGTTCTTACTTGGGGAGTGGGGATATTCACAAAGTAGCAGGCAACCTTTGACCCCAGATAGGAAGCTGTCCAGAGTGTACTCCAAGGAACCTAATAGATTGCCTCAAACAAAATCGGGACTCTTAATGTCTGTGAACTAACCTAGGTCTCCAGAGGCCTATTCAAAGTATCCACACATTGGAAGGAGGCAACTAGCAATAATGCAAATGTCAAATGTAAAATGCTCTCAACAGATCTATTCCTGAGATCTGCAGACTTTGAGATGTTCTGTGAATGACGTTAGGGAAATTCAGAAATATTTCAGTTCTGGTTTCTTTTGGGGCTTAAGTTCCTTGATTATAGTTTTTTTTTTCCCCTTTTTTATTGGTACCAGGGATCGAATTCACGACTGCCTGCTTGCAAGGCAGGTGCTTATGCCGCTGAGCTAAATCCCCAGCCCCGATTATAGTTGTTTTCTCAGTGTTTGTGTGTGTGTGGTACTAGGGATTGAACTGAGGGGCCTTATGGATGTTAGGCAAGCAGGCTACCACTCAGCTACGTCCCCAGGCCTTAAAAATCTTTCTAATTGCCTAGCATTTTCTTAAATCAATCAGACTTTTGAATTTTGTAAGTAAGTGAAATCACACACAAGTAAAAATAAAATTGATAAGTTGTTGACAATAATTTTTCTACAGTAAAGAAAATTTTTTTCAAAATCTCTTACATTTATCACATAAAAATGTATTTAACTTTATGAAAAGAATTTTTCACTAAGAATCGCCATGAGTTCAAGATTAGCCTGGGCTATGTACGCTAGATAGAGTTCAAGGCTAGCTTAAACAGTATAGCAAGACCCTGTCTCAAAAACCAAACTAAATAAACAAACACAAAAACCCCCCAAAATTTTAGTATTGTAATAATATAGGTAACTATTACTGTAATTTCTT